ACTGTATGCAGCGCTGCGCCGCCCAGGCAGAGGCAGCGACTCAAAGGAAGGGCATGAGGGCGTGCGAGAGAGAGAATGGAAGACTATCTTTGCCGAGGCTCCACGTCGTCGTCGGCGTTTTCTCTCAGAGGTTCTCTTCGTCGTCGCCGTCGTCGCCGCCGCTGGCGTGCTTCAAAGGCTCAGTTCGTCGCCGTCGTCGACTGATTCGTTTTGTCGTCGCCGCCGTCGTCGTCGTGGCCGTCGCCATCTCCTCTTCGTCCTCATCGCCGCCGGCGCTTCGCAGAGGCGTCGGAGCGCGAGAGGTCCCTGCCGAGGGGGGGGGGGGGCGCCCCGACGCACGCGCGCGGGCTCTGGCGTGTGCAGAGGGGGGGGGTGCCGCACCACCCCCTCTGCCGGGGAGGTGGACGGCAGGGGGGCGCGCCCAGGTCGCCCCCCGCGTGGGGGGTGGCGTGGAGTTACCGTGCGACCATGCATGCCAAAAAAACAACATCCGAAGCGGGAGCGAGAGGAGCCTTTCGCCTACATGCTAAAAAACAGCATCCGAAGCGGGAGCGAGAGGAGCCTTTCGCCTACATGCTAAAAAAACAGCATCCGAAGCGGGAGCGAGAGGAGCCTTTCGCCTACATGCTAAAAAACAGCATCCGAAGCGGGAGCGACGGGAGCCCTTCTGGCCACGGAGGTCCCCGAGACGTCCCCGAGAGGCCCCGAGGGGCCCCCGGGAGGCCCCCGCAGGCCGCGACGAGGCTCCCGAGAGGCCCCCCGAAGGAGATCCCGACAAGCCTCCCAGCGAGGCCCCCGTCCACGACCCGATCCAGAGGAGGAGGAGGAGGAGGAGGAGGAGGAGGAGGAGGAGGAGGAGGAGGAGGAGGAGGAGGAGGAGGAGAGGAGGAGGAGGAGGGAGGGGGAGGAGGAGGAGGAGAGGAGGAGGAGGAGGAGGAGGGGGAGGAGGAGGAGGAGGAGGAGCGCAGGGATGTCGACGATCTGACGCTGCTGGGCTCGGCCCCCCCAGAGCAGGCAGAGCGCAGCGACGCGGGGCGGTGCAGGCGCGCGCCCTGCGAGCCAGCGGAGCCCGCGTCGACCTTGGACGCCTTCTCCACCTTGGCCATCGGCGTCACCGTGCAGGCTCGTCCCTCGACCTCTCGGGAAGGACGGCTTCGTCCTCCTTCCGGTCGTCCTGCTCCCCCTCCCCACCTGCCCCTCCTCCGCCTCCTCACCCCTCGCCTCCTCGTCCTCCGCCTCCCCGCCGTCCTCCCACCTCTGCTCCGACCCAGGATCAGAATCATCACTGTTTCATCCTCCTTCGCGTCGCGGCAGAGTCCTCTTTTTCTTACAGCTCCTCCTTCTCCTCCTACCACTCCCACGCAGTCCGTATCCTCCTCCTGCTCTCCTCTTCCCCATGCACCCCGCTCCAAGCTATGTGTCGCAGTCCACTTCCATCTCATCCTCATCATCCTCATCCTCATCTGCGTGCCCATCATCATGCTCGTTCCCCTCCGCGTCCTCGTGTCGTTAGAGCGGACCGGGCGTTTGGCCTCAGACTAAAGCTGTACGATCCTGAGGCGTAACGCTTCCGACACCTACACGGATGGAGCACGCGTGGCCTTCAAAAAGGAGGCTCTCGCCGTGGTGCTGCGCGCTCTCGCCCCCAACAGTTGGGGGGCGGAAAGATACGGATACGTGTTGTCCCCGGACCTCTCTTGGGGTGCGTTCTGACCAGAATTTCGAGGCGAATCCAGCGGTGACAACGAGGATTCCCCAAGAGGACCAGGAAAGGCCGAAAACGAAGGGGGACAACACGTATCCGTATCTTTTTCTCCCCCGAAACAGGGTCCAACGGCTGCACCGAAGGGGAGGGCGGCTCGTCTTCGAGATGTGGCTAATTATGGCCTTGGCGCCGCGCGCACTTAGTGTAAGCGGCGACCTGGGTCCCAAAGGACGCGGTCGGGGCAGCCGAGGGACACATCGGAGCCGAACAGGGCACAGAGGGAGACGGGGAAGGACGCGGAGGGAGGAGGAAGCCGCGGGCGGCGGAATACGCTCGGAGACCGTGACGATGCTGCAGGCGCGTGCGCCGGAGCACAGGCCTATATGGGCAGCAGGCCAGGGGGGATGGCGCCGCGCACACTCGTCCGTCCATCGATCCAACTCTTACACGGATGTAAGGCGGGTGCGATTGAAAATGGGACTCCCGATTGAGACCACCTCAAACTTGATGTCCCACATTTCAGAATTTCTGCAACTGCTACAAAAAGGGGCGGCGGATCCATCTTACACTTGTTCGTACAACAACCCAATGAATACACGCATGTATGGCGAGTGCGATTCAAAAAGAGGCTCTCGATTGAGACGGCCTCAAAGTGTATGTCCCGAAGATCAAAACAAGATGCACAACTTCCAAAACAGCGGAGGGCGGATCCTTCTTGAAATGGATCTCTCGCTCAAGCTGTCCTCGACTTTGCCAGCAATGACTTGATTTGCAGCGTTCGGTTGGGGGGAGGGGGGATGCGAAAGGCAGAGCGTGCAACCCCAAGGCTCAAATCATGCAACGTTTACTCGGCTGGGGAACAGAACCGTGAAGACATCCTTTGAACTTCATGGCCCTACCTCTGCGCAATTGTTTTAGTGGGAGGTGGATTGTTTACATCCCCACCCCTCCCCCACCCTCTCAAAGACATGCCTCGCCTGAGTGGCAACCCCACGGGGCGTTCGTCTGTGAAGGAGGGCACTTCCCGCAGTGCAAAGGAGTACCATGGAGTTATCAGGAAGGGGCTTGGGACGGGAAGGTTATTGCAGCTTTGTTGATGCATCTTGGGTACACTCTGGTTCCCCCCTCCTCCTCCTCCTCCTCCTCCTCCTCCTCCTCCTCCTCCTCCTCCTCCTCCTCCTCCTCCTCCTCCGCCTCCTCGTCCCACCGTGGGAGACCAGCTTGACCCCAGTTCGCATCGCCAGCTCAAGCCCGTTGGGGAGTCGCTGCACACCGATAATGCAGCCTCGCGCTGGCCCCCCCATGCTGCGCACGCCGCTCGCGGCCTGGCCTCAGGTCCCACGAGGAAGTGCGGCTGCTCCGCGCGGCCCAGGGGCTCCTGCGTGCAGCTGTCGCAGCGACGGGCGCTCTGGAGGTGGTGCCCGTGCCGGCGCATGCGGGTAGCTCAGCGGCGCCTCGGCGCCGACGGCGGTGCCGCGGGCGCGGCGGCGCGGGCAGCGTGGCGGCACATCTCGGAGCCCCTGATGCTCGCGGCGGCGGCTTGGCGCTAGCGGTGGCGGTGGAGGTGGTGGAGAGCCGCGGGACGGCGATCCCCGAGTCCTCCGACGAGCTCAACGATGCCTTGGCAGACGCACTGCCGCCGCGCCGGACGGGCGCAAACAAGAACCAGGACAAGAGCAAGGGTGCGCCCATCGTATCACCCAGTGCTCGTGTTCGATCCATCCGCGGCCCCATGGCGTGCTTGGGAGCGGAGGTCGTCAGCTTCAGGGGCCCGCACTGCCCAGAGCCGCCCTCGCGGCGAGCTCGGAGCAGCGCCCCCTCCGGAGGTCTTCCTGGGCTCCCCCGGAGCCGCCGAATCGGGCGGGCGGCCGATGGTGGCAGTGGGGGACGGCAGGGCGGCCCCGCCGCTCTGCGATGCGGGGCCGCCGCCCCTCCCCCCCCCCCCGCCCCACTCAACGTGGTCGCCTTCGGCGTACCCTTCTCCATGCTCGTCTGGCTCTGGGCGAGCTCCTACGCGCCAGGGGCGGATGCAGGGGCGCGAAGGGGAGGACGGTGTTCAACTCGGCTCTGGCAGCTGAGTGCCTCAACGGGAGCGAGCGCCGGGCAGCTGCAGGCTGCTGAGCTGGGCAGAAGCGACCCAGCTCAGCCTTCCCCGCGGGCACGTTTGCGGGAACGGGGGGAGGGGATTTGAAGCCATCGGCGGCGAGGGGCCGGCGACCACCCCGACCATGACAGGCAGCCGTGGCGCCTGCACCAAACCTAGGAGTGCACCCGAAGTGCCAGAGTCCAGAAGCACCTTTCCCGGAAGCACAGCTCCCGTGGGAAGAGCACTTCTGGGCAAGTTCCTGCGCGTCAATGAACGCAGGGGCGTGGAGGGAGGACACTGTTCAACTCGACTCTGGGAACTGAATGCCTCAACGGGAGCGCTGGGCAGGCAGCTGCAGGCCGATGAGCCGGGTAGAAACGACCCAGTTCAGCCCTCCCCATCGAGGCCAAAGATAAGACGGAAAATCCCCGGTGCGGCGAGGTCGCCTCACAGATGCAAGCCCGTGCGCGTTGGCTTCGGGCAGCGCGCGCCGGATTGGATGAAGAGGCTGAGGCGATCGTCATCTTGCATCCATAGATGCACGGAACGCATGGCGTCTGGGCTGCTCCAGCCGCCCTGCACCTGCACCACTTCGTCGGACACAAGAGTATGGTACAGCAGGGGCCCGACCACAAGAAACCTCCCACAAGAGACCCGACCCTGAGACCCCGGGGGCGCCAATCTGTTCTTGGTGTGGGAACGTCACGCTTTCCATGGCAAAACCATCGAAACCCAAGAGACATTTTTTGATTCGCGGGTCGAGAGCGCACCTCTTCCGGTCGAGGCTAACCGGGCCGCAGGAAACTTAAATTAAACAGAGATGGGGGAGGAGAAGGGGGGCGCAGCCCCAGAACGAGGCCGGGAGGAGGGAAACCCAAGAGACACAGGGTACCCTAAAGGCAAGCAGGGTGCTTCTTGGCATGGGCCATCACTGTAGTTATCCGTGCCGCTGCGCACCTCCTCTGCGGAGGGAGTGCGCGCCCGTGCCCGCACGCGGCAGGACTGCGCGCAGGGCCCTCCGAGAGCCCTCGGCCGACAGCTCGCGAGGAGCTGCGCAACCAGTAAGGCTGCCCTGGGCGACTTGTTCGCTCGGAGCTGTTCGTTGCACTCCTCCCTCCCGTTCTCCCCGCCCGCCGCCCTCCCACCTCCGCCTTCGCCCCCTTCCCCCCGTCGCCTTTTCCCCTCCTGCCCCTCCCCCTTCTCGATTCCTCTTCGTGCACCCCTCCTCCGCCTCATGCTCTTCCCCCTCCTCCTCCTACTCCTCTTCCTCCTCTTTTTGTTGGAAGACAGCAACGCCAATGCCTCGCAGTGATGACGCTTCCTGCTCGAGGCTCAAGCAGGCGCCGAGGAGCTGCGCTCCTCACAATAAAGAAATAAAGCCGCCAATGTCAACCGTGACCTGATCCTTATCAGGATGCAAGCCCTCCTTGAGTTTGCGCATGTTGCGCATTGACGTGATGGTGGGCTGGCCACACACCTTGCCGAGCTTGACAATCTGCGATCCACGGCTGGAGAATTTGCAGCTCAAGCAAGCGAAAAGAAAAGACGGGCTAGAACACGGGAAGGCCACGACTTTGTGTCCAAACCTGAGCAGCATGCCTTGGTCCAACCTGGAATGCCCTGCGCAGTCCCAGGAAGCGGGAGCTGCGCGCGAGAGCCCTTGAGGCAAACGCGACACTGCCAGAAGGACCCAACCTGCACCCACGAGTGCCCAACATCCAGGGAGACGTTCGGAGCGTCGGGGGCAAGAACGGACCTAGCGGTGCCCCGACATTCAAGTCGCGGCCAGAGTGGCAGCAACTGCGAGCCAGCGATGAGAACCAGACGGGCAATCTTGATACGCCTGTCGAGCTCGTCAGCTTCAACAGGAGTAAGGGTGGGGTGCACGCTAGCCCCTTCCTTGGCAGCCAGATCGGCATACCGATTGCCAATTATCCGGACACGCTCGGTGGATGCAGTACCATCTTCAGAATCCCTATGGGCAGACACCTTGGCGAGGGCAGCCAGGTTCCTTCCGAAATGGTGTTTCCCTGGAACAAACGAGACCTGAGTACTGTCGTTTGCCACTCTGCGCGTCGGTTGAACCGAGCACGACGTGATCAACAACATTCTGGCAATCGCTGTAGCAAACTGACGGGGCATTCGCATACGCTCCGCAGAAAGCGAACGCGGCAAATTCAGCAACTTGGGGGGTTTGAGGCCAAGGAGCCCAGACGAGGCCTTTCAAGACACCCAGGAGCTCACCATGATCCCCCAGCATCGTCACTGCCCAGCCCGCTCGAGACAACTCACGCACTACGTGCCTGTGACAAGAGCCGTCAATAAAAAGATATCCCCACATGCTGTCCCCAGGAGCCACCCTCTCAGCACCACACGAGGGAGGAGGAGGGAGGTCCTCGGCCAACCACACGAGGGAGACACCACCTTCACATAACGGACGCGGAGCATAGTCCCCAGGATGACGGAAGGCCCCATGCAGGAACAGCTATTCTTCATACTCAGGACTGGTCGTATCATTGGCAGCCTCAATCAGCCACGGAGGGAGCAGCTCCTTGCGCTGCTCTGCACGGGCTGCGCAGCGAAAAAGACGGTGGTGCATCGTGTCGCCCTCGGCCCCGCACAATGGGCAGAGGTCTGACACGTCATAGCCTGCAGCAGCTGCGTCGGCACCTGTCCAGAATGCACGGCAGGCCTGGGCCCTAATGATCCCCTTGGCCTTGGCGGGAACCTTGGACGAAACGAGCATCTGCTTGACAACATGCCAACACAACCTGTACCCCACCCCGGGCTTGTCACCAGAGTCGCCTACGCCTCCTCCTCCTCCTCCTTCCTCCTCCTCCTCCATCCTCCTCCTCACGATCCCACACCTCGTCGATCCTCCACAAACCCTCCTCGCCTCCTTCCCCTCCTCCTCCTTCCTCCGACTCCGACTCCGACTCCGCCTCATCCACGACCTCCTCCCCGCCCCCCTCGTCTTTGGCGTGCAGACTGCTGAAATGCCGAGTCCGACCGACCGCCCCTCTCCCCACCCCCTCCCCACTCCCCTCCAGCAAGGCGAGGAGGGCGCCTGGATGCCACTGGCCTGCAGCATCAGCTCGGCGTCGGCCTCCTTCTTGAAGTGCACGACCGCCTCCTAAGGAGGCCAGGCTGCGCTCCCGCCACGACAACTGCCCGCAGCGGCGGCATCGACGCGCAGATCAAGCAGGACCGTAAATTCGCCTCTCCCTCGCCTCCTCCTCCTCCTCCTCCTCCTTGTCCTCCTCCTCCTCCTCCTCCTCCTCATCTTCGGCCTCCTCCTCCTCCTCCTCCTCCTTATCCTCCTCTTATTCCTCGTCCTCCGCGTCGTCATCGAAATCAACGATGACACATTCCGGTCCCCTCCCCTTGCTCCTTGCACCCCCGCCCGCAGCATGCTTGTCTGCCCGCCCATCTGCTGCTGGAACTGCCGATGCCGTTGCTGCTAATGCAGCAGTCAGTCAAGGTCGACAACTATTTTTTGTGTGAGTCATCCGCGCACGAGGCCATTCACCACACGCACCATACTATCATCTCCCATCCCTTCCTTTCTCCCTGGCTCATTTCCTCCCTTCCTTCAGCTCCCCGCCTCCCGCCTTCCCCCCCTTCACCCTTTTCGGTCATGGTCTCCATCGTCTCTCCTCCTGTCCGTCCCCCCCGTCCACCCATACTCGTCCCTCCTTTCATCGACCTCTTCATCCCCATTTCTTCCATTCGCCCCGCCTCGCCTAGAATCGCCGCTCGCTCGCTCGCTCTCTCTCTCTCTCTCTCTCTCTTCTCCTCTCTTTCCAGTATGTTTTTTTGTTTCGCTCTCTCTCTCTCTCTCTGTCTTTCTCTCTCTCTCTCTCTCCAACGCCCGTACTAAGGTCTCGAAGAGCAGAGAACGCGGATGGCAGGGAAGAGGTAGGCCGCACTCCTTGCCAAAGCTGCCCTGCGGCTTCTCGATGTGAGAGATGCCCATGATGCCCCAGCGCTGCGGTATGCGGCGCGATGGGCAAGAGGCAAAACAAAGAATGAGGAATGAAGAATGAGGAAGAAGAGGAGGAGGAAGAAGAGGAAGAGGCTCAGGAACAATAGTTGAAACACACACACACACACGCACAAGGATGGAAAGAGGGAGAGGGAACGGGAGGGGGAAGACACAGAGAGACGGGAGAGAGATACAATTGAGACAGAAATGTGGTACATAAGAGCGGTATGCACACCATCTATACAGATAGATGAGCATATCTGTATGCAACAGCGAACCAGCAGCAACGCCGCCAGCCGCCAAATAAATAACAAACCGCTACGACATGCTGGCATCTATTCAGACATAAAAACAGAAACGCATCACATCTAGCGAGGGAAAGGCGCATACGTAAAGGACATACGTATGCAAATATAAGGGGTCAACCATAAAAAAAAAGGTAAACAGAAAGTGAGCCCGAGCGCGCGCGACGATAGGGAGAGACAGAGAGAGAGAGAGATAGAGAGAGAGGGAGCTAGACAGAGGGAGGGAGGGATAGAGAAAGAGGGACAGAGATAGAGAAGACTAAACAAGACATGCTAACTGATTTGCACTCAAGTCAAAGGAGGCCGGCCACGAGGAGGCAGAGGAAGACGAAGCGGGGGGGCCGGAAGGGTACGCCGCACGCGGTTGCGCTTGCGCGTCTTTCTCGAATGGCGTCATACCCCTTGGATCCAGCATCCACCGCCTGTTCAACACCCCGACACGGTGGATGTACGCTGCGCGCTCCATGACAAAGACTACGTGCAGCTTGGCGTGGACAAGCCCTGTGAATACTACCAGCTGCTGAAGAGCACGATGTGTCACTAGCTAGCCGCTATGCCAAGCATTGAAAGGGAAGGAAGAGGAGAAGAGAAAGTACAAACAACCGTAGCACAGGTACATGAGAAAGAAGGGACGAGGTGAGTGAAGAAGCAGCAAGGGCGAACGCCATCTGCTGCAAAACACGGCGCGACTGTGACAGTATGTACAGATCGCTTGCACTTGTAAGCAAATTCATTGAGACCCAAAAACAATCAACACATGATGAGGCGTAACAGCGCCATGCGTACATACATTTCGTTCCTCATCTGTCTGAAATGTGCCACTCGTGGATCCCCGCCACATGCTGGGTCGACCTCACCCACGCGCGGATGAGGATGCAAGACCACGGCCGTGGACTTCATCTTGGAGAGGGTCTCTGGCGTAATGATGAGCGGGTCCTTTACCCTCTCGTAGTCTGCCACGCTGCCGAAGCGTTCCTGATCAAACCAGGTCACATACAGGATGTCGGTCTCCTCCAGGATGCCCGTGGTGAGCGCGTCGTGCAACGTGGGACCGGGGTCACCGCTCGCCGCGGACACGACCTCCTCTGGCATGCGCAGCGCCGCGGGCGAGACGAAGCGCAGGGCGACCTCGAAGCGGCTCAGCAGCTTCGCCAACGAGTGTACGGCGGGCCCGTTCTTCAGACGGTCAGGGGACAACGCTCCCAGAAGGCACTGACCAGTTCGGCTTCTCCCACCCATGCGTATCCTCCTGCTCCTGCTGCTGGTCCTGCTCTTGCTCCTCCGCCTCTTCCTGCTCCTCATCCTCCTGCTCCTCCTCCTCCTCCGCCTCCGCCTCCAAATACTCCTCCGCCTCCTACAGCTCCTCCTGGTCCTCCCCGTCATCATCTGGTCTCCGTGACGGCGAAAACTGCTAATCTTCCAATACAGCCCGATGCAAATAGTACGAAATCGGTGCCGCCTAAGCCCCTCTGAGCAGGAGACCCGTTGCGGACCACTGCGCCAGATGTTCGCTGCCTCTTTAGGGATGGTAGGGATCCAATGGTACTGGGGTGCAGAGGGGGTGATGGCCAGCGGATGCAGTCACTTGGAGGTGGAGCGTCGTCAGGTGCTCCGCAGCAGGCACCTCGGCACAATGGCTGTCCATCATCCTCTCTTTTATGAAACGTAATGGCGTTCCCCCCTACACCCGACCCCGCTCCCGTACGGATTGAGGTTTTGGAAGCCCGCCGGCATCATACATAGACATCCGACACAATCCGCCATCCCCCTCCTACCACCATTACCTCCTCACCACCATCCTTCTCCTCCTCCTCCTCCTCCCACTCCTACTCCTCTTCCTACTCCTACTCCTACTCCTACTCCTACGACTGATACTACTACTAGTACTAGTACTAGTACTACTACTACTACTACTACTA